TGGAATAAACGAACAAAGCACAAGAAGAGAGAGAGCAAATATAGGATAGAATGATAAGGATGATTTTATAGAACTTGGATGATAAGGAGGATTTTATATTTGAAATTAAATTTAGATAGATATTAATAATTGATTACATGCTTATGAAAGGAGAGAGATAACGCCATACAAAATTTGTTAAATAAAAACACCAAGAAATCATGAAATAAATGAACAAAGGCAAAAAAAGAGAGAGATGGAAGAGCATAGGCTATTTTATAAAGCATGTTGAAACTACTTTCTATGTTGTTAAGCCACGTAGGAAAGAGACAAAATAAAAGGATAAGGATGAGAATACGACTTTATTATATATATATATATATATATATATATATATATATGATTTGGAGATGACACTTATAATCTTTTCCAATCTTAAAGTACTTTTAAATAGTTATCCATCAGTTATCTTTACAAATAATTTTTTTAATTTCCTAAAAATGCAATTGAATGTAATAGTGCTATATGTATGTTGATGTATTTAATAATACTTTGTAACATAAAAATGAAGAAACCATTTCATATCATTTTGGAGACTAACTAATATAAAAACAATGTGGTACTATTTTTTATTGATAGATTTACTTAAACAAAAAGCCAAGAGAACTACAAAAACAAATCCAAGCATGATGTATGCATTGACTCATTAAGCAAAAAAAAAAAAAAATACAACAACATCAGAATATGTTTCATTACATGGGCATTTAATGACCATTCTCCATACCATTAAAGATATAAATATAATATCAACCAACAACCAGTTACAGACTCCAAGCACTAATTTCATTGCATAAAGTGTAATTAATCCAAAAACCTACCTGCAAGACGTAGGATGAGTCACCAAATGCTGTGGCCATACTTGAAATCAAGGAAAACACAAAATCATTAGGGACTCAGGGCAGATACGATTCAAATTTTGTATAATTGGTATAATTATTGCACTTCTTTTAAAAAAATAGTGTATGTTTAAAGTTGTAATTATATTAATATATGAAATTAGTGTATAAAAATGAAATTATATGTACAACAAAATAATGTAAATACACTAAATCATGTAAAATATACAACTATACAATTCCCTAAAACCAAACCAATCCCAAAAAAATCACACTCATTTTACTTGTAACTGACCAAAACAAACACTATACATTGACAGATTTATACGTGTACACCATCTTCCACCAACAACAAAACACCACTCAAGTTAACAATTAAAAAACCAACAAAAGAGAAAAAGATAAAGAAAAAAGATAAAGCTATCAAACATAATCAATTTTCTACTTACTTTTTCCCATTCTATGTTTACTTTTGGTGCCACCTAATTTCTTCTCCTCTCTACTTATTTTATTAGTTAAGTATCTTGATTTAAATCTGCCGCACATTGTTTTTCAATGTTAGTCTCGATATTAAAACAAAAATTTACCTTAGTCCATACACTTTCTATTAAGAAATGGGTTAATCACATTTTATCTCCTTAAAGAATACCCCATTTCTCAGTTTACTCCCTAACCTTTAATTTTACTCACTTAACCCCTATTAGGACAAAATTGCCCTTGCATTATTTAGACTTTTCATTTACCTTATTTTCTTTTCTTTTATTTCTTTTTCTCTTTCTTCTTTATTTAATTTTTCCTTTTTCCCACAAAAATCTTCACCTTAATGATTGAAATTAAAAAAGAGGAATTGCAGAGATCTATCTTTTCCTTAAACGATTAAAAAAATATTCAAATCACTTTCCTAAAATACAATTTTTTTAACCTTTCAATTCTTTTAATTTTGGATTTTCCTCTTTCCTTTCTAGTTTCTCATTTTATTCCCAATAAAATATCTTAAGATGAAATTGTGACCTGATTAATAATCATCAATTGAAATTTGTGACACGTGGCATCATACAAAAAATCAAAATTAGTTTTTGATGCCTTTTAAACCTTTATCCAGAAATATGCAATTGCCAACTCAAAACAAAAATTTTCGTTGAAATGAAATTTCTATTGGGAAGGATGAAAGAGAGAAGAAAGAGAAAAAGAAATAAAAGAAAGGAAAACAATTTCATCTTATGATATTTTTTTGAGAATAAAATGAGAAATTAGAAAGAAAAGAGGAAAATCCAAAATTAAAAGAATTGAAAGGCTAAAAAAATTGTATTTTAGAAAAGTGATTTGAATATTTTTGTAACCATTTAAGGAGAAGATAGATCTCTATAATTTCTCTTTTTTAATTTCAATCATTAAGGTGAAGATTTTTGTGGAAAAGAGGAAGAATTAAATAAAGAAGAAAGAGAAAAAGAAATAAAAGAAAGGAAAACAAGGTAAATGAAAAGTCAAAATAATGCAAGGGCAATTTTGTCCTAAAGAGGGTTAAGTGAGCAAAATTAAAGGTTAGAGGGTAAACTGAAAAATAGGGTATTCTTTAAGGGGATAAAATGTGATTAACCCTTAAGAAATTGATTATTCCTGCAAGATTTCCTTCAGGGTTAATCACATTTTATCCCCTTAAAGAATACCTCATTTTTCAGTTTACCCCCTAACCTTTAATTTTGCTCACTTAACCCCCTTTAGGACAAAATTGTCCTTACATTATTTTGACTTTTCATTTACCTTGTTTTCCTTTTTTTTTATTTCTTTTTCTCTATCTTCTTTATTTAATTCTTTCTCTTTCCCACAAAAATCTTCACCTTAATGATTGAAATTAAAAAAGAAGAATTGCAGAGATCTATCTTCTCCTTAAATGATTAAAAAAAATATTCAAATCACTTTCCTAGAATACAATTTTTTTAGCCTTTCAATTCTTTTAATTTTGGGTTTTTTTCTTTCCTTTCTAGTTTCTCATTTTATTCTCAAGAAAATATCATAAGATGAAATTGTTTGCCTTTCTTTTATTTCTTTTTCTCTTTCTTCTCTCTTTCATCCTTCCCAATAGAAATTCCATTTCAACGAAAATTTTTGTTTTGAGTTTGTAATTGCATATTTGTGGGTGAAGGTTTAAAAGGTATCAAAAACTAATTTTGATTTTTTGTATGATGCCACGTGTCACAAATTTCAATTGATGATTATTAATCAGGTCACAATTTCATCTTAAGATATTTTCTTGGGAATAAAATGAGAAACTAGAAAGAAAAGAGGAAAACCCAAAATTAAAAGAATTGAAAGGCTAAAAAAATTGTATTTTAGGAAAGTGATTTGAATATTTTTTTAATCATTTAAGGAGAAGATAGATCTCTGCAATTCCTCTTTTTTAATTTCAATCATTAAGGTGAAGATTTTTGTGGGAAAGAAGAAGAATTAAATAAAGAAGAAAGAGAAAAAGAAATAAAAGAAAGGAAAACAAGGTAAATAAAAAGTCAAAATAATACAATGATAATTTTGTTCTAAAGGGGGTTAAGTGAGCAAAATTAAAGGTTAGGGGGTAAACTGAGAAATAGAGTATTCTTTAAGAGAATAAAATGTGATTAACCCTTTCCTTCATTATTTCGTAGGGTTATATGCACTAAATCCCCCTAAACTTTACCTTTAGTTGCGCTTTATCTTCCGAAACTCATTAAATAAGCACTTTGTCCTCTTATTTGATATTTTAAGATAAAAGTGCCCTTATTATTTTCTTTTTTGTTTATTCATTCCCTTGTTTTCCTTTTCCATACTTTTTTTTTATTTTTTATTTTTCTGTTTTACTAATTTCTTTTTTCACTTATCTCATGTGACCATTTTGTTTCACTTTCCTATTAGTATTACTAATTTGTATGCTTATTACAATATTATAATCATCATTTACTTACAATTTCATTTTGTTTTATTTATTTACACTATTAGAAAATTTAAAACAAACTATATAGTGTAAAAATTAACATATGCCAATCAAAATAAAAAAGTATATATTACTAGCAATTTGCATATTTAAAAGGATATTAGCAAATTACAACTTTAAATTACTTAATATTTAAAATTATATCCCAAATAAAAGTAATTAATGATTTTATTTACTTTTTTTGTGTATAGTTGATTGATTGTTACTATTTTTATTAACAATTAATTTATTCTAAACTCTAGACATACTGATTTAAGTAATGTATAAAATAGTTTATGTACAGAGATAATATATACTTTGTTACGACATAGATTTTATGGTCATTTTTTTCAATAACAAAAAGTAAATAAGTTAGAAATAAATAAAAATTAAGTTTAAGAAGATTAATATTAAAATATAGATGATGATAGCAAAGAGAAGAACGTAATTGATCATGTGAGAGAAGGGAGAAAAATTTTAAAAATATGAAGAAAATTGACAAGTAGAAAAGGTCAAAAAAGCGAGAAAAGAAATATAATAATAATTCATATGAAAGTTGTAATTTTATCTTAAAATATAAAGAAAGGAAGGGGGCAAAGTGCCTATTTATTAAGTTAAGGGGGGTAAAGTTTTGAGAGATTTAATGCTTTTAAACCTATGTCATATACATATTTTATGTAGGTATTTTCTCTTTGTTCTACTTCAATACAACTAATTTTCCTTCTTCATTTCACTTACAATGGTTTATCCCAAATGAATCTCACCTAATAGCTCACATCTAACTTAATAATGTCCAAAATATGAACAATCTCACTCAGAAGGGCTTCAACCTTTAGCCCAATCTCCACGCTTATGATCTCTTGGCTTAAAAATATTTTTAAAGATTCGAAAGAAAATACTTACTTCCTCATATAAAATTCAAACAAAAGCACAGGAACAAAAGTGCAATTATCAAAAACTAAATAATCACAAATGCATAAAAAGTTAGTACAAGATTAGCAAACGAGAAAAAAAATTCCAGAAAATTATAACTTACCCTACTCATGCCCTAAAGAATACTACCATTTAAATTTAGAAAGTGTACCACCAAACCCAACCCAAAGTAAACATACTTGGCGGATCTCTTCACCAAAAGCCTCCATATTCCTAACGCACAATAACAACACATACTTCACACACTTTTATATATACTCCACACCATTTGTCCACCAACAACAATACACCACTAAGGTCAACAGCTAGGAAACCACACTAGAGTCTAGAGCAGAAAAAAATAGAAAGGGAAAAAAAGGGAAAAAAGAAAAAGAGATAGAGAGCGATTGATTTTTAATAATTTGCTATTTATTTTCATCCCCCATTTTGTTTTATTCTTATTTTGGTAGTCGCCAAATTTCTCCTTCTCTCCATTTATTGTTTGTGCTATAAAAGTCGTAACTGGATTTTGCTATTGATTTTGTTTCGAATAAACTTTTAAAGGAGAGAAATAAATAATGGAAATGGAGGGAGGAACTCAGCCCTCGGACACCGTGATGACGGAGGCGGGGGCGGCGCCACCACAACCGCCTCAAGCTCAACAGCAACAGCAGCAGCAGGCGTACGCCGCGGCGGCGGGGGTGGAGAATGTCCCGGCGGTTCTCAGCCACGGCGGACGGTTTATTCAGTATAATATCTTCGGAAATATCTTTGAGGTCACTGCTAAATACAAGCCCCCAATTATGCCTATTGGTAAAGGCGCCTACGGCATCGTCTGGTAAATCCAATTCGCTTTTCCTTTGTGGTTTCATCGGATCATTTCATTTATTCATTTACTTATTTTTATTTATTTTATTTTTTTGGGGATTTTTTTAAGCTCGGCGTTGAATTCGGAGACCACTGAGCATGTGGCGCTGAAGAAGATTGCGAATGCTTTTGATAACAGGATCGATGCGAAGAGGACTTTGCGAGAGATCAAGCTTCTTCGCCATATGGATCATGAAAACGTCAGTGAGTCATTTCTTTTGGGTTATGAATTTCTGGAGCTTCTTTATTTTAGTAAAAAGCGCAATTTTTGAGTTAGATTCGTCAGGAGATGGAAAATTGTGTGTTTGCGAAATTACTATATTGGCATTTGAGCTGGATTAAAGTGGATTACAGGATGAAAGATTGAATTTTGGGGGTTTTTTTTTTTTTTTTGAAGATTGGATCAGTTGATAAGAGTGATTGAGATCAGTGAATAATTTAAAACTATTGAGTAAAGTAGGTAAAATTGCAAACAGCGGAAAGACTGGAGATTGGATATGATGTGTGGGAGTGAAGTGTGAATTGTCTGGTGATGTGCATCTAGCTAGATGCTTTTTGGAGCTAGTGTTTTGCTGAGTTGGCCTCATGAGAGTGTGTGTGTGTAATTTGAAGCTTATTGTGACCTTGTTAGGGTGTGTGCATGTAATTGGGAGCTGTTTGATTTGTGAGAATGTTTTAATGTAATTGGAAGCTGAGTGTTATTTTGTGACAATGTGCGTATGTAATGTAAAGCTGGATGTGACGTCATGACAATTCATTTATGACTGCTCATTGGTATCCTTTGTTACAGTTTTTGGCAAGTGTCCTTTTTCTGCTTTGAATGTCGTAGTCAGACACGTAATGAGAAACTAAGGTATTGATAGGTATCCTGCACACTTGCAATAAGAAACCACCTTTTGTTATGTCATCTATCTTTGGTTCTATGATGGAACTCTTTATATAGTAGCGAGGAAGTTAATTGCCGGTTTCCCGTTTCAAGATTATTAGGCTACAGCAGTAGCATGGAAATAAAGTGAAACTAAGTTTGTTAAAGTTGATCTTTTTGGAAAAGATAGCATTTCTAACTCTATGGACGCATAGAAAGATCGTGACTTTCGGGTATATGATGTTTAATTGATGTGGACTAAAGAAAATTTAGTAGGTATCTACTCTGTACACATTTACAGAGCAGGAAAATAAATAAGTTTTGTGTTCCATTAGCTACACAAAGGACTCTTAGGTGACTGCATAAGATGTACCAGAGGCATTCCAATATCTCCAACTGAAGTCCTCTATTGATTTCTCGTAGACATGTCTGCGTGTATTTTTAGTTCCCTAAGTTGCTATTCCATTTGATCTCCTTTGATTGAAATCCTAAAGTGTTTACTGCAGTTTTAGTTAAAGAAACTTCGTCTTTTGGCAGTAGCCAGTTCCCATCTGCTTATGACCTTGTATTCCATTTTGTTAGCGTTATGACACAGATTGGATCTTTTCATATGCGCTTTTTGGTTACTTTTCTGGAAAAGATAGCGCAAAGGCTTTATTTTTGATGTTGTGATTCTTGCTTAATCTAAGTGCCCTGCACATCCTTTTCTTTTGATACCTGTGCTCCTTTTAACGCATAGACATGCCATTAGCTCTACTACGTATCTGCTTTTAGTAGTTCTCGACACTGGAACTGATTTCTGTTGTTTGGCTTTTGATGCACATCTTCATGCCACAGTTTCCTATTTATCTAGAGAATAAATTGTCATTTGATATATGGTTAGAGGATGTTTTCTGCACTAATTATAGTGATACTTATTTAGTTTTAAATATGTGAAGAGAAAACATGGTTACAGTATGTTTTCTGCATTAAATGCTTGTCGCGATACCTTATTTGGTTTTAAACAAGTGAAGAACAAAAATATGTTCATTGATATTTATCTCATAAAAAAAAATTGTAAAAGCTTTTGGTTGCCTATCATTTTTGTTTTTATCCTGTAGTTCAAAGTCAATAGCTATATCCAGACACCCTAAAACTTAGGTATTTGTGGCGTAGTAGTTAAGCATGTACCCTAATAACAGCAAGTCCTGATTTTTTTCTCTGTGACCATGTCATTACTCATCAAAAGTGCCTACCAGAAAGAAAATTAGAATTTTTGGGGGTGCTGTGTTCTTGTGCATCTTGTTTGTGTGGTAACCTACATTTGCTTGGTCCTGCAGGTTGTTGCAATTAGAGATATAATTCCACCACCTCAGAGGGAAGCATTTAATGATGTTTACATTGCTTATGAACTTATGGATACTGATCTCCATCAGATTATTCGTTCTAATCAGGCACTATCAGAGGAGCATTGTCAGGTTATAATTTGCTTTTACTGTAATCAGTCTTAAGGGCTAAAATGACAACCATATATATCAGTTAATATTACTTCTGGATTGGTCTGTTTTATGAGACAGCTGGAAAGATCTTAAGCTTATTGATGTCCTCTATCCTGAGTATTTTTTTCATCCCTGAACCATGCTCCCCTTTCATTTTTTCTGCTGTTAACAAGATATTGATGTAGTTCATCCTAATGGAGACAATCTTGTGATTTATAATCACACATTAGTTATCCTGGTCATCAATAGTGACTGCCTTATATGTCTGCACTTTAGCTCTAATTTGATCTGAGGCCTCCCGGCATAAATCTAAAAGCAAACCTCTTTGACATATTTATCTCTACTTTCAAGCTTTTTGATATGATTTTGTTACAATCCATTGAATTTAAGGATTGATTATTCACCAAAGCTCAATCCTGGGTGCAGTATTTCTTGTATCAGATCCTCCGCGGGTTAAAATATATCCATTCTGCAAATGTTCTTCATAGAGACTTGAAGCCTAGCAATCTCCTCTTAAATGCCAATTGTGATCTAAAAATATGCGATTTTGGATTGGCTCGTGTAACATCCGAAACGGATTTTATGACGGAATATGTTGTTACAAGATGGTATCGAGCACCAGAATTATTGTTGAATTCTTCTGATTATACAACCGCAATTGATGTATGGTCTGTGGGTTGTATATTCATGGAATTGATGGATCGGAAGCCTTTGTTTCCTGGTAGAGATCATGTGCATCAGCTGCGTCTTCTTATGGAGGTATTCTTCTTTGGAGGTTGCAGTTATTCATTATCTGGTGATTACTTTGAATACAATATTAGCAGCACGTGTTAAGTTTATTGTTCTCAATAAACAGTTCTTATACCATTGCAATGGATTACCCATAAGGCACATCCTTGATAACTTGACTTTAGATTGAGGACTTTTTCTTGGTTGATTTATTGTAACCAAGTGAGAATATTAGGTCCCCAAGTTAGGTGGGCTTATGTTCCTATGGAAATGACTTTAATCTTGCGTGCTAAGTTAATTTCTGTTCTTCTGTTCACTTCATACTCTTTTTCTTTCTTTTTCCTTTTCTGTTTTCTAAAGAGGGGTCATTCGGGGATAGTGTTTGGAGAAGGATACTGGGGAAGAGTAACCAGCAATTGTTGACTTGTAGAATTAAAGTCCAAAAGGCCCTTGTTCTTAATGGGTGCCCATTGTCTTCAATCCTGATTGGCTAAGCACGGATAAACTTGTTGTTAACAACCACTTTATAATGCTGTTGTCAATTTAGATGTAGGCATGGCGTAACTTGGTTTACAAGCTGTACATGTGATTAGGATATGCTTGCTTTCCTGATCTGATTGCCTCACATTGATAACCGGAACTATCATACTTATTGTTTAAGAAATTGTCTGGGGGCATGCTTTGGAGAATATGAATACGTGGAAAGGCAGAGCTTAATTGGGGAATGTGCTAAGAAAAAGGAGGGAGGGAGTCCGAGCAAGGAAAATGTGGAGCCTCTGGGGCCAGCTACCATAACTAAGAGCATAGACCTTTACATGTTGATGCGTCTGCATCATGAATAACGTTAGTTCAGAGGTAGATCCAGTTTTTTATTTTTGCAAGGTAAAAATGGGATGCCGTGGTGTCTATCTGCTGATCCCCTATGTGAAATTATTGTACTCAAAAGGGGTTTCTTTGGTTCCATTGGTCTTGGAGATTGCTACTGTGTGTGAATTTTGCTTATCTCCTACTTTGTACCCATTTGATACCTTAATTACTTATCTATGAGTTGCTATGGGTATCTTTGTTTACTATGAGTGCCAGCCCTATAGGTGTGAGATTTTCAATATATTTACTTCAGCAAAACTTTTAGTAGAAAATGTACACTGCATAAAGGATAAAAATAAACAAATAGCATATCTGAAATTGCCTAATTTGATGACTCAACCCTGGGTTAAAGAAGCCTTTGATAGAGGATATAGAAAAGCGTGCATCTCCTGGACAATTTAGGAAGGTGCTTCTAAAACAGATTCTCGTCCACATATCTAATTGGTGAATATGGACTAATAATATAATAAGTAAAATTTATTAAGCAGAAATGGTATATCCAATTAATTAATTGTGCTGCAAACTAATTTTTGTATACAAGCTCAGAAGAGAGTGAAAAAGAAATGAGCACTGGGCCTTAACTGCAAATTCATTGCGACAATTTCTAGGTCACAAAGAATTATCATAAACTCATTTTGATTGCAGAAAGCTGCAAGTGTTGGAAAAAACTTATTAGCTAACTCAAGTTATTTCATTTTTGGGTTGCCATAAGTCCACTTGCCAAAAATCCACTTTAATAATACTCTCGCCTATAACAATGTATACCGTTGATAAACAGGGCTTTCAATAAGTACACTTTGTAAATGAATAAAACCATCATTACTTGTATGATTTTGTATTATACATGCCCTTAAGGCTTTTAGAGCAGTGTAGGCATCATTCACATGAAAACATCATGATGAATTTCTGCCTTTGCAGTTAATTGGCACTCCGTCAGAGGCTGATCTGGGGTTTTTGAATGAAAATGCAAAAAGATACATCAGGCAACTTCCTCTTTATCGTCGGCAGTCGTTTGGCGAGAAGTTTCCCCATGTGCACCCTGCTGCTATTGACCTTGTAGAGAAAATGCTGACATTTGATCCTAGACAGAGGATTACTGGTAAGGAGCTTATAGCCTTGAGTGTCTAATGATTGCATTCATTTTTCAACCATCATGACACGTGCTATCAAGATTTTTGCATAGTAAGTTCATGTAGAAACAAGCTCAAACAAGCGGTTTTCTTCATGCTGAATTATTGGTGCTATGTTGCTTAATTGTAGACTTTCATACATTATGGATGATAATTGCCTTCTTAATCCTTTATTCCATATTAGTTGGCTTATATTTCTTTCTGACGTTTTCTTTCCTTTTTCTTTTCTTGAATTAAAAAAGGAAAAGAAAGTAACCATTTGTACATGCAACAACTCATAAATTACATTGTAGTCCATTATTCTTTGGACTTAAGATTGATTTTCATTTTGGACCTACTTCATTCTTGAGATTCTGTGCCTCAAACTTTCCAGTTGGTCTCATTGTTAAACTAAGAAAGGAAACCAAAGAACAGGAACATACACTGAGATAAGGACTGGAAAGGAATTTAGTGGACTTGTATATGTTAATACAGGAGTTTTGGGATTTTATTATTAGTAATTTTTTGTTCCCTTATTTCGTTTACTCTGGAGTTGCACCTTATATAGACCCCTTGTAGTTTAGTTAGTTGAATTGTTTTGGGGTTTGCCTTTTTGCAGTCTTAGGTTACAGTTTATGAATAGCTTTGATGAAATGGAGAAATAGATATGTTCCTCTACCTAAGGGTACTACCTTTTGAAGTTGGAAAAATGATATACTCCATAGAGGTATATCTATATTCAAAGTTGGCAGCTTACAAGGATCAATAAAATGTAGATATAGAATTGAAATCTGAGCAAGAAGCAGAATGTGAAAATTTATATCACAGCTTATGATTGCGTTGTTAAATAGGTGTGGACCCACTCCACCCACTTGTAACTGATTTGGAGCTGATTGAAGTGCTTTATAGTTGTTGTAAGGGCAAGGTGTATGTTGAGCTGTCTTTGCTTTTTAAAGGAATTGGCAATTCTCATCTGTATATGTTATATAGTCTCTGAAATGTTGCTTATCTTTGCTCTTTTTTTGTTTTCTGAGCAAAGTGTGGATAGACTTGGCTTAGGATAGGTAAGCTTAAGAACTCACAGGCATTGTGTTTCTTTGAATTTCTTCCACCCCATCTAAATTCCCCTACACCATTTGATTGATGCAACACCAAATAAGCAATATTGGAGATTATGGATATCAAAATCTTATGTTTGGTCTTTGGAAATTACTACAGATGAGTAGGTAGGATGGGCAAAAATAAGAATGTTAATAAGTATAAAGCAAGACTGGAAGAGCATGATGAGGTAAAGACAGAAATTTCTGGAAGTCCACGTAGATTTGCACTTAGATTTCCTTAGGATTGTCCAACCAGGGTGAGGCTTCCTGAAGAACGCACAACAGTACACCTTGAACTCAAAAATGAACATCCTTAATTTTGATCAAATTACCTTGACCCTCAAAGCCTGACTGCATAAAAATACTAATTTAGAAACTACGTCAACTGGCACAAAGAATTCATGTCTACTGCAGCTGCTGTTTTTCCGCAACTGCTGAAATGACAAACATTCCTCAGCATTCTAATTCTGCAGAAGCACTGGGAAAACCACCAGTAGACACAACTACTTTGGACACCTTTCCTTGGACCAAAAGGTCCTTTTCCATTTTGTCTTACCTGTCCTAAGGGTTTGTGCCTTTTTTATATACCTGATAGCTGCTGCATCATATATATATTCTTAACAGCATAAAATAAGTATGTTTAATGCAGATCTTTGTCTGAGTTGTTGGTTATCCTGCATTTTGTATAAGAATCATATCACCTTACAATTATGAATTATGTTGTCGAGCAAATAATTTATGAAGATTAGTCTGGCATTCCATCCTCAATCCTATGGAGTTTTTCGACATTTGACTTTCTGATAATGTGCCTCCTCATTTGCTAGCAGTGTATGCATTTCAGTTGGTTTGCATTAATTTAGAATTAACTTGATAATATGTGTCCATCTTGTGGCTCGTACAATAGAGCCCCTTCGCCCTCACCCAAAAGATAAATGAATGAATCCTTTTTTCCATCAGAGAGAGCAAGTTTAATCGCAATTGACATTTTGCACTTATGTGCTAATTGCCATTAAATTTTTTCAACCACTTCCTTGGTATGTGTCATGTAGTGGTAATATCAACCAATTTATTATGTTGATGATATGTTATTAATCTCTGTAGAGTAATACTCAGAGTCCCTTAGCAATACCAGAATGACTAAAAAAAAAAAATTTTTAAATCCCAGAATCACTAAGATCCATCAGAAATACAATGTGTTGTATATTGGCAGCAGAAATAGAACGTGACTTGCTTTGGCTGCAGCTCTTGAGCTTTACGGAGACTAAATGAAAGAGTTTCCTTGCAGCTAAAGCTCAACGAAAAGTCTCTAAGATCGATCAGACTCCCTTAGCAATACCAGAATCACTGAGAACCATCAGAAATACTTGAGCTTTCTAGTGACTTTTCTTTTCCGTGGAAAATTATGAAATCCAGAATCATGAAGTAAAAAGAGCTGGAAATGATGGCAAAAAAGAAGTAAAGGCTAACTTGCTTGAGGTGCAGGCTCTTCACTGCCATGGAGAATAAAATATAGAAGCTACTTTCTTTGATGCCTGTCAGCCAATGTTCAGGTCAGGAGACAAGATATGTAATTCAGTTCCCAGATATGACAGATGCATTACTTGTTGGCATTGTTTGCAGTCTGGTTAGAAATGTAGATTCTGATTTCAGCGATAACAAACTATAGTAGATCTGAGAATGTAGGCTGGCATGGTTTTGGGGAATTGCTACTTTGAGACCTAAGATTCTCTTTGACAGAGAAGAGAGAAAAACTATGTAAATGCAAGCACATGATGGTTCACTAACCTCATTTGTGTGCGTTCCAGAATAATCAGCTGCCCTTTGCCAACAATAGCAGTTAATGCTGAGTCACTTTAACTAATTTGGAGAAGAGCAGCCTGGACACTCTTGGAGGATAGAAAAATACACACATTGAGTTGTTAATATCATAGTCCTCCACTCTTTTTCCTATTCCATACTCAAGGACTACTGCCCAATATAGCTGTTTTATTTTTGACCAAAGACTGTTGAATGACCTTTAAGCTAAAGCTATAAGAATCTACAAGATGTACTTGAGCTAACCTACTAAAATTTTGTGGAAGTTTGGTGTTTTCTCAACATCTAAAGTTGGAAGAGTCACACCAGTGAGCATACATGTAATTCACTGGCCCTTTTGAATATCATGTATGATCCATTTCATGAAGAGTCTGGCATTTTCAATACTTGATGCTGCTGACTGCTCATTCTGGCCCCACGAGAGCATTGGCATTCTGAAAAAAGTTTTAGGTGCTGTGTTTTGCCACATCACCATCACTGTAACATTCAACTTTGTATCATGTAAGGTAACGTTAAGCGGGGACCAAAGAAAAAAAATGGTGATTGGACCTATTAGAATTGAAGCTTCCTTATTTCCAAATTGGTGTGCCAAAGCAGATCCTAACAAGTAGCTAAAACTTATTCCAACAGTCCCATGGTTGAACTAACTTCAGGACCTATTTTATGACCATACTGGCCTTGCCGGGAGCTAAATGTTTGATACTAATCTTATATGCATTTGTGAATAAAAATACCATGGTAACTCCTCTTCATATAGGATGGTGAAGCCTTGTGCATTATAAGTTAGGAACAAATGCGATGGCATTATGATCACCCTACATGGGGAGTTGGGGATCATGTCCTGATGTTTCCTCTGAGATAGAACATTCCTGAACCACCTATTTTAAATTTTTCCTGTTACAGTTTCTTAAATTTTAACACATTTCAACAAATCCCTTCTTTATCCACTGTGCTCTCACTATGTGTGCTCTTTGGATATGTGTTGCATTACTATTTTCTGAAGTACCAGACTAATCTTTTCTGAAGCTAACACGCCAGCTTTACCTTCTCAATCAATAGCCAGGAAGGAACTATACTTTCCTTCTACAGGCATCACTATACTTGACCATTTTTGGCACTTTCTCCTGCCAGTCTATGTTTCTTTAAGATGTTACCTCGTGCTCCCTAATCTTGTGAAACCCCTTCAATAAAAAAACTAGTCACCTGTAGACCTAACACCTTGGCAACATGGACTCCAGTTAAGTTTAACCTCCAGAGTTGCTTTGATCTTAGTAACACTGGTTATTTTACTTCTTCTTGAATTGGGATAGATTAACTTAGAGCTGCTGGTTCTGCTGCATATTTGTTTGAAATGTAGCATAAGATGTATGTCTCCAGTTCCCTAAAAGGCCACAAGTAATGGTTCCTTGAATATGTTATATCTTCCAGGGGATTGGACGTAAATGTTTCATGTCATGTAGTATATTTGATCAAGCTAGAGTTTCTTATGTTGCTGTATATATACTTTCTGACAACTGTTTTTATAAGTCCACCACCAATACTAGGAATTTATTATAGCTGCCTGGCAACACATTTCTATTTAAAATCCAACAAGTGAAAGGTATGCCTGTTGTGGCTTTCCTTGGCAATGCCTTTTTTTATTGCTCTCATGGGGTTTATGTGTGGTTATTGAAATATCAATCTCTGTTTTGTTTTCCACCTGGGTCAAGAAGCAAATTTTGCCAATTATGAAGAAATGATGAAGAACTATTTTTAAGTAAATTATATAAATTATAGTACTAATGACCTTATAAGAAGAACTCCAAAGACAGCCATAAAAGTAGATTAAAAATTTTTTTGAACAGAGATCTGCAGTAGTTATGTGCCACTGCAACCCCAAGGTGCTATAGCAATGTGCAAATCAAATATATGTTGCGTCAAACATTGGGTTTTCCCTACATGCTGTTTTTTGGTAATTATGTGAAATGGCAACTTAACATGATTCATGGCTTGATATTTTTGTGTCCTGTTCAACATGCTATATTGGAAACTTTTGTGTTTAATCTTGACTAATTACACAAATGCGTGCTTAGCACTTCTGCAAATCTACATTCTTCTGTCAGGCAGGTAATGAGTGCAATTGAAGAGACATGAGTTAAGATGCATTTTAACGTTGAAATGGAAGGTTTTACTCCTTTGCCTATTGTGTGAATGTTAGTAAAGAGGTCCACGGCTCAAAACATGATAAAGCAACTAGAGCTTTTATTTTAGCCTGTGCTGTAAATCACTGATCCTTCGCAGAATTCAAGTTAGTAGTCTGTCCCGGATAAGGTTTCTTGTGAAACATGAAATTGGCACTAAAGAACTAATTGTTGAACCCTTGCAAAAGTGTGGTTCTATCTTAGCATTGTCCCACTACAATTCTTTTCTTACCTCCGTGCATGGTGATGAGACTTTTTGTTTTGACATCTCATCCTTTCTTTTCTGTCTTTGTGTTTCAGTTGAAGATGCACTGGCACACCCATATCTAACATCACTCCATGACATCAGTGATGAACCTATTTGCATGACTCCTTTTAGCTTCGATTTTGAGCAGCATGCCTTGACTGAGGAACAGATGAAGGAGTTGATTTATCGAGAGGCTCTTGCATTCAATCCAGAATATCAGCAAATGTGAGACTTGTTTGCTGTCAAATTGTTGTTGAGTTAATTAGTGTGATTTGAACGTTGTGATAATTTGTACTCTACTTTTTCTCCTTTAATGTATATATTATCCATCCAAAACCTGGATGGATTTGCTATTGAAGACATTGGATCGGGGGCATAGGTTGAAACCATTGTCATGTTGTTGTAAGGGTTGCTTTTCCTTCCTGTACTACTAGTTGAAGTCAAATTTCTAATGTACGAAAATCTCTAATTATGACCTTTTTCACTCTCCTTTTTACTTCTGCTCATGGCTGCAAGTTCCAGTTCTGGTTAACATACAGTAGAACAGATATTAGGATGCCAAAATATAGATTGCTGATGGTCCTGAATACTCGATTGAAATGGTTAAGCTTAAGTTTTTTCTTTGTTCTTTTCCTAGGCGAAGCAAATGCATTATTAGAGTTGCGCGAGGACTACTGACAATACATGCACAAACGTATTTAAGGAAGGAAAATGAAAAGATCAAATCATCAACAAAAATTAGAATTTAAATATTTAGCAAAGTCATTCTAATATCATTTTTCTTCCTTTATTTTTTTATCCTTATTGACAGTTTCTTTGGCATCTAAATCTGTATAAGCTAAATTACTTCTCTTCTCCTTCTTTTCAGAAAAATTCTTTAGCCAAAACTTCTTCCAACTCTTCGATGGGAGAGACCAGATTTTTCTGATCTTTTTTTATGGGATGAACCCTCTCTATAGTTTTTTTTGTCATTTGTGTGATGAAGTTTCTTTTCTTAGGGTTTCTTATGATGCAAGTTCTGTCATTAGTGCAAATTTTAATGAAATTATGATGTTTTATCACAAAATAAAAATTGTATAAATCGGTGGTATTGATTTGCTAACCACATCCAAAATGAAATTGGTAAATTGATAAACGCTACAAATTTGGTATGTACCACTTTTAATAAATCGAATTAGAATTAGGTGTGGAATCGGTAATGGCTTCTCTCAAGTTGATGCGCACGGATTTCAAACTCATTTGTGGTGATTAATCATTATAATTTTTATGCATAATATATACCTAATTGTATTCGTATCAATTACATATTATGTATAATATTTATATATCATTTATATAATTATCATACAACCATAATATGATATACAGAATATATATATATATAGGTATGGACACACACATATGAAAATTAATATATGGGTAATAACAGCAAAGAGGAAATAGTAGTCAACCACATGAGAGAAGGAAGAAAAATTTTAAAAATAAAAAAAGGACAAGTAGAAAATGAACAAAAAAAAAAAGAAATAAAATAATAATTAATATGAAAATTGCACTTTCGTCCTAAAACAAAAAACAGAGGAGCAAAGTGCCTATTTATTGAATTAAGCGAGTAAAATACAATTGAGGGTAAAATTCAAGCGAGTTTAATGTTTTTATCCCTCCAATTTATTAGAGTACAAACAACCATATCCCAGTTCAGAGAGTTTTGAATCACATGGATGGATGGATGCGCAAATATTGGATTGTATAGGGGCCTCTGGGTGCATTTGTTACAAGGTCATACATAGTCCAGACTCTGGTGAATATACCTGGCTAAAAAGTATCTATCAAAGTCCATTGGCGTACATACCTCGTACTTATGGCAACTTCTCATCCATCAGATCTGACAAGAAGTCCTAAGACTCCAACCATTGCAACCTTTATCATTGAGTTATAAAACTAATGGCATTTTTAGAAGAAAATCCAGCAGCCACTCATGATAACAGAGACAAACATAAGGGAACTCAGTTGCAAAGGACAGTAATGCAAGACATAGAACTCTGCATATTCGTTGAGAACACTTTGTACCAGTCGAACATATATCCAGAAAAGCATTATGTTACTGCAGTGAGTTGAATGGCAACTTTTGCTGTTCCCCGTCATCCATCCCAAGAGTGGAATCACGTTCAACATTTGCAGCGCAGCTACCCTAGAGTCCAAACTCAAAAAAAGAGGCTTTTAAGTTTGGAAAAGGAGAATAACTGACCTCCTCCACTCTGAAAAGTTCTATCAGATTCTATAAGATCACAATGTAAGCAGTTTCAAATTTTAGTAGACAGTAATCCAAGAAATATAGAAGTTGTTCCCACATTCACTACATAACCTCTAGCTCAGGAAGACATTGATCTGTAATAACGAGACAGAAGGCTATGGATACATACATTAATAAAAAGTGCAACCTAGATTCTGTTGACTTCGGAAGAATCCCCTCAACCGCTAATCTAAGAGAAGATTAATGGTACAAGTACAATAAAATCAGCTTTTCCCAAAGAATCTAGAAAGTGGCAAAGGCCCGTCAGGTTCTCCACTATCACTGCTGGATTGCTTGGATCTTGATCGATGCTTTTTTTCTTTCTTCCTTCTCTTAGACCTTGACTTTGATCCTCTTGATTCGTCATCACTACTTGAAGACTCTGAGGGTGAACTTGAAGAACTAGAATCTGAATATCTCCTCGAATGCTAAGAATATATAATCCAAATCAGGTATTTCATAACATGAAACAAAGAAGATCATAGTTGGCTTCATTCATATTTGTTAACTGTAGAATATAAACCACACAGTCAGATTCTGTTCAGATGATTAATCGTTAAAACGGCTATAACACAAGTCATAAGTTCTCTATGAGTACTCGTACTTCCCTGCTTGCTGAGAGAAGAATCAAAGAGACACCACAACACAAGTAATACCAAAAACACTATAGCATTTCTTCCCTGACTCACCGAAAAATGCTTGAGGTAGGGGCTGAGTTAAAATCCAATACTAAATCTTTCATTTCTTCATGCATATGGAGCATAAAATTACAACATATTGGTCAAAACTTAAGTGGAATCTACATCTTGCAATGCAAGTATGCGACATTATTGTACAGCATCAAAAGAGAAACAGAAAAACAAATGAAAACCATTTATGTGCACCCCAAACAGCTTTTCAGGTAATTTGATGAACCCTTGCACTAATCGATGCTCCTCAACTATGGAGAATCGTATTAATCCACTAAACCTTAAAATGTCAATAATAAAAGTAGAAAATTTCCAATGATGAGAACCTCAAAAAGAAGCTCCATAGACCAATTTATCTCAGGTAGCTTACAACTTATACGTTACATACACCCGCAAGGGCAGTGAAATTGGGTTAACCCATTGAAACCAGCTATCTTATTGTAGACAAAGATTGAAAACATTCTACTTAAAAGCAAAAATGTGGAAAACAGATGAACTAATTGACTGCCAAGAAACCTTTATATTGGAACCGTAATTGCGGTTGAGCAGGTGAATAAAACTCTTTCAGCGAATATGAACTCAGCGCTTTCTGAATGGTTGACTAAAGAAGTGGAAAGGATGGAAGAAGTCACCTCTACCACATCCCCATCTTGTGAAGAGCAGAAACTCGTTAAATTTCAGTCTGATAAACTGGTAGCAAGAAATCCCCCACCCCCAAAAAAAAAACCCCCAATTTGCACTATTTGAACCAGGGTCCTGTCAATCTTCTATTTGATTGACTGCTTATGAAAAGAAGTGACGACAGGAACTTCCATTATCTATGATTGAGCAAAAAGAATACCTTCCAAGTTCGCTACCATTTTTTCTCATGCAAAATGTTCTCATGAAGGGCATCCGTCAACAAGGAATAGATTACCTAACAGATCTTGCATTGTGATAATTACAGAAAACACTACATTCATTATAGATATACGCATAAGAATTTTCATTATAGACGTACGCATAAGAATCAGATTTAGTAAAACCATGAAGAAGGACAAACCTTATCACAAGTTTAGCACCATGTGGACAGGGCCAAACTCAAAATAACTGCTTATATGTTAAATGCATCACGTGGATGTTATCAAAAAAAATTTCTTAATTCCAAAAGACTGTTTGGTACTTTACCTACTAAATTTGTATGGTTATATACATTTCTATTTTACTCTAAGCACAATCACAAAAAAGATTTGAAAAAAGAGGAAAAAGAATAAAGAACACTTTTGAGCGCACCTTTCTCTTCTTGCTGCTGCGCTTCTTTGAATCCTTATCTTTCTTTTCTGGAAGAATAAAAGTTCACCACTCAAGAAATCTAATTATGTAACTAGTAACAAGAATATGCTCTTCCTTTCACTACATAATACATTACCTTTTCTGCGGCCAGATTTCCTGCTTGAGTGGTTTTTCCCTTGAGAAAGTTTGAGAGCCCTTTCAGCATCTAGTTGAGCCCTGTACTCCCTCATCATTCTATCCTTGTCTGCTTCTAACTCCCCCTTTTTCATTTCTTCTTCCTAACAGAGTAACCCATGAGAAAGCAACAAGAGAATGCAATTCACAAAATCAATTACGAGACTCACCACATCAAACCTCATCACAACCAGAATCTTTTATCTGGTTATCTTCGGAAGACATAGAACAACAAATGTCAAGCCAAAATATCTCATAACAGTCACAAAACTTAAGTTGAATATGCTCAAGAATGCCATTTTGCCCACCCCAATCTAATCTGCACACTGGACCATCCATAACGTGACTACAAATACTGCAACTTTAATTCTTTAAGACCACCAAAACCAAAGTCAAATTTCATTATATGGAATCCTTTTCACAGAAGAAAAGGATAATGATACACCCCCAAGATCAGAGGACCTAGTCGCACAACCCAGGACACAACATAGAATTGAACATCTAGTCTCAGGTCCTTTTTTGACAGAATGGATGTGACTTGTTGTCCACAGGAAGTTCGAATTAACTTGTAAGCCACTCAGGCACAATGAGAAAACCAGCAGTTACAATTCCTACAACTGTCCAAAATCTGAAGGGTCAATAGTCTGTGTACCTTTAGAGTTCGTTTATGTTGATCCCAACACCATTACAGAAATGCAAGCATACTATCTCATACATCTCAAGAGCCCAGTATGTCTTCCCCAATCTTTAAATGCAATTTCATGCATTCTGAAATTAGTAAGCTGTAAAGCCAGTTGTTTCTTTGTTCAAGATTTTCTTTTGAGAGCAATATCAGGAATCTTGAAACAAAATTAGAGGAGCTAACTATTACTATTTGTTTAAAAGCATAACATCTTTCAATAATGTTTCACCAAATGTAAGGATAACAAATATATGCTTTGACAACAGCAAACAATGCAAAACGAAAATGAGTTATGAAGCAATCATGAGGTACATCTTTCCATGTTGTATGTGGCAATAACTCAACACCTTTGAGCAGTAGTCTAATCGAGCTTT